TCTCTCTCTCTCTCTCTCTCTCTCTCTCTCTCTCTCTCGCTCTCTCTCACACACACACACTCTCTCTCTCTCTCTGATCCTCCTCTTGATTGTTTCAGAGTCTCTTTGCCAAAACAGTAGGCTTTTAAGAAGGTAGTTTTTTTTAATCAAATCAACCAACACACATAGCAATGCTCTCCTAGCATGCATCATGCTACTGAGTGGTGAACTACATGGGACCGAGGGGGTTGTTGCTCCCCTTCCCTATCCTAGGCCCAAAGCCTATTCCTACCCTTCACTAGGGCTGGCCTCTTGCCATCGCAAACCCCTAGGGTTGCCCACGGTTTTCGCACTCAAGAGTGCACCGTGCCTAGCGCTCAAGCGCCTATTCCCATGGCCCGCTCCTACACCACCTGAGCGGGTCCTTGGCCGCCGTGCCCGTTCCTAGGGCAGGCACTTGCCACGTGGCCCGGCTGGCCGCAGCGGAAGCACGAGCCCCGAAACCCGCGGCAATTGGCCGTGGGCGGGGGGCCCCGCTTGGGTAAAAACGGCAACGGCGCGTTGTTTCCGCCGCGGTTGGCACGAGCATATCCGCTTGCCGCACGGTCCATTGCCGCCATGTCTGCGACCGCCTGCTTGAAGGGTCGAGAAGTCAGCAGGCTCTTCTGCTGGTACAACTTGAAGCGCTTCGCCGTGCGGAAGTCGGATGCGTCCTCCACTTGAAGCACCTCGAAACGCCCCGAGATGAGGTTGAGAGCGTGCGAGATGAGTTCGAGTCCGCCCGCTGGGTCTCCGCGCTGCGCCTTATATTCCGCGTGCAGCAGGTACGCGCGCAAGTCCTCCAGCAGCTCCGCTTGCTCTCGCACGGAGTCGTTGACGAATGTTGCCGTCGAGAAGGTGGGGTTAGAAGAAGGGAGGGGGGGAAGGTGTTCCGTGCCATTAAAATTAACATTGTTGACTGGAGCCTCACCGGCTTCATCTTCAGAGTCGTCGGTGTCGTTGTCGACCGCTGGAGCGGGGGGTGCTGCTGCTGCTGCGTCGTTGTCGTGCCGAATGGTCCTTGCTCCTCGCGCGCCTTTTTCCTTTTTTGCATTTTCTTTTTTAGCCAACGCAGATGCAGCGGGTAGTGCAGTTTCCGCGGCTGTAACGCTGACGGGCTGCTGCTTGACAAAATTAGAAGAAAGAAAGAGGGTTGAACTAGCAGGAATGAGGATACAAATAGCAAACCTAGAAGGGTTGTACTCGCTATAGAGCACCCCACTACAGGCTAGAACATAAGATAACATTCTGACACACCCCCATAGCCAAAGTGGGGTGTAATCAGCAGAGCAGGCAAAGCAGTACAAGCTCAGGGTGGATCACAATGTCACCACACATTCTGAGCACAAGTTCAAGAAGCAATAGTTTAAAGTTAAGAATTATGAGCAAAGCTAGAGGCTATCGCAGAGGGCAAGTGAGGAGGAGGAGGCGAGAGTGAGAGGAAAGGAGATAGGAGGCGACGGATGAAGCTACAGACACACGGGCAACAGGAGGCAGACTGGCACAGCGGCTACCGGACGAAACCCCCGGACTACAGGGGTAACTGGCCCCGCGGCTAAAGTAGCGGCAGACGAGCAACGGACCCACGGGCGGCTGGCACAGCTGGCTACGACTGAGCTACCGGACGAAGCCCCCGGACTACAGGTGCTGCTAGCGACACAGCGGCATCCTTCATTCAGCTCCCCAAACAGTCTCACCCCCCCTTGCACACACCCCCTACTGCACCCCTAGGGTCACTCACACCCCACCCCCTAGCACGACTCCAGCGACTCCCACACACCCACCCCCCTCAGCGGCAGCTGCAGCAGTGGGAGACAGAGGAGGAGGAGGAGCAGGGGAGACCACACACCCGCCACCCCAATACTCGCCACCCCCTACTCGCCACTCCCCAAACCCTAACTCAGGCAGGGCGGGATGGCGGGTAGGGAGGTTACGGGGGAGGGGGAGGGGGGGGGGGGGGGGGGGGGGGAACCGACGCGCGGCCGCCCAGGGCGCCAAGACAGGCAGCAGAAGGGGGGGGGGGGGGCGCTCGCCCCCCTCCCCCAGCGGCCCCCGAGGGAGCCGCGACGGGCGGCGGGAAAAGGGGGGGGGGGGGGCGCAGGCGGGGCCGGGGCCGGGACTGGCGGCGCACGGGCGGTGTGGGGCCAGGACAGCGGCGCACGGGCGGCGACGGGCCGGGGCTGGCGGCGCACGGGCGGCGACGGGCCGGAGCAGCTGCGCGGGGCCGGGGCAGCCGGCGCACGGGCGGCGACTGGCCGGGGCAGCGGCGCACGGGCGTCGACGAGCCGGGGCAGCGGCGCACGGGCGGCGACGGGCCGGGGCAGCGGCGCACGGGCGTCGACGGGCCGGCGCGCGGGTCCCCGTCGCCCGTCGCAGCGCCTCCCGAGGGCGACGCGCCGAGCGACGAGGCAGAAGCCCGCCGCGCGCCTCGGGGCGCACAGCGGGCAGAGAACCGCCGCGCGCCTCGGGGCGCACGGCGGGCAGAAAACCGCCGCGCGCCTCGGGGCGCACGGCGGGAAGAGAAACTGCCGCACGCCACGGGGCGTGCGGCACAGAGAGTAGCAGTAGAAGTTGCAGCGGAAGCAACGAGGTGGTGGTAACCCACCCACAGGATCGATCCAAGGGGATCGACCTGCTCTGATAGCATGACAAAATTAGAAGAAAGAAAGAGGGTTGAACTAGCAGGAATGAGGATACAAATAGCAAACCTAGAAGGGTTGTACTCGCTATAGAGCACCCCACTACAGGCTAGAACATAAGATAACATTCTGACACTGCTGTAGAAGGGACAGCAGCGCGTTGACCTGGTCCGGGGTCAACGCCTGCGTCAACGCAGGGGCGGTCGTCGCGCCAGACGAGGAGACCGCCGTCCGCCTCCTCTGGCGCTGACGCGACGGTCCAGCCGCGGGTGCTGGCGTGTGCTCGGCGTCGGTGGCGTGTGCCACGCCGCGGCCGTCGCCACTTGCGCTGCAGGTGCCACTAGCGCCACAGGCACCTCAGGCGCCACTGGCACCGAAGGGTGCTGCTGGGCGTTGGCCGAATTGTTGGCCTCGAGCCCGCCCAGCAGCACGTCCACTGCAGTCGGGGCGGGCGGTCCATCTTCTGCCCGTCGCTTGTTACGGCGTTCGCCCGCCAAATCGCGGGTGTTACGGTCGTTGTCGGAGGCGGGGTTGGACGAGTTCCCGTTGTTAAGTGTCGGCGTCGGTGCCATCGTTGAGCGATTGAAGTTAAAAATATCGTTGAGTAAGGTCGAAGGTGACTCGCCTCTAGGAAGCGATTTTGTTCTAGCCAGCTTGGACGGAGGGATAAACTACGTGAGCAGAAATGTTGAGTGAGCCGTTTGAAAATCGAGAAGCGTGGGTGGAGGGAAATGAACTCCAACCCACGGTTTTTGTAGTTGGAGAAGGGCGTTTAGCGCGCTTCGACGATGCCAATTGTGCAATACAAGCAGCTTCGCTTTCACAATACACAATTTAAAAAAACACAATGTGTGTTTAAAAATTATAATATTACACGAGGTGAAGGTTCAAAAACTGCCATGTAGGCGAACGATGCTCTTTTCCAGCAAAGGCTCACTCTCGTCCTCAGCAATAAAGGCAGTCTTGCAGTTCAGCAAATCACCTCAAGTTTCTGCTAGGTTGGAACCTTCTGCACAACTGTAGAACTGAAAGCAAGTCATTCAGGCAAATCAAAACGATGTCATACTATAACAGAGCAGTAGACGCTCATGGTGTTCCTTTGCTAAGCTGGACTGACAGAAAATGCACAAAAGCCTTCACCACAGCCTCCCCTACCTCCCCCCTCATGCCTCCATTCCCGTCTGGGCATGAGTAATGTGGATCAGCTAGTGAGCATGTGGTCCTGTACTGAGGTGCAGTGACCTGCCACGTGTCAAAGAACGACAGACCCATGTGGCGAACCAGGGGCTGGGCAATCCCATTGCCATACGCCAGCATGGCATTGGTTCGCCTTATCCATTTTTTATTTGCCACCCAGAATGAAGGCAGGCCAAAAAAAACAGCAGGCTTTTTGGGTCGAAGGAGGTGGAGCGAGGAGAGGAAATGAGGGAGGTAGTGGGGATAGGCCACAGCACCATCGGAGCAGAACTCAAAGGTCCAGTGTCCTGTGCCTACGACTGTGACATCTGCAGTTGGTGATGGTGCAGGATAACTGCTTGTATGGTTGGAATATTTACCCCTGCGACTGCATAAAGGTAGGGAGAGGGTGAGAAAGGAAGGACAAGTTGACAAGGAGCTACTTACGTGTGTGCAAACCTGATATAAATCATTGATTTTCACTGGCATACTTACGAGCATCCTGCCACATTGTTGTCATATATGCCATCCAGCCAGTTGTATTTTACACGAATAATGCCTTCCTTCACCAATTCTCCACCAGCTGAAAGTTCCCCTGCTGCTGCTGGAGCAGTGACGTTGAGGGCGTAAGAGACGTCACCATGCCTCACCAGGGTCATATTATGCCTCGTGCCAGTGTGCATAAACCAGAGGTGCATAATTAACCCTCTCATGTGCGAGTCTCCAATCACATTCACCTCCCGTACTCCTCCATCCTTCCACAATGACCAAAGCATGTCATTCAACGGAGCAGCACGAGCGCAGCTGAAGAATGCCCACCTGAATCCAAGAACGAAAGTTCAGGCTAAGACGTTGCCCCAAAGGTTTGACGTTCTGATGGAGTATACGAGGCTTTGTATATCCGTGTTTTCACTGACCTGTACTTATCTGTGGTAGCAGTTGCTGTGTTTAGATTGGTCAAGCCATTTTGACTCGTGCCATCATTGTCTGCAAGCCACCGACCAGCAATCCCATGTGCACATGGACTCGTGACCGCTGAGAGATCCATAATGACTTCATCGAGTTGGGGTTGCTCCAGCCATTCTGGTGTCTGGCTTCCTTCAAGCACCGAAACAGGTATTTGTGCAAAAACGTGTTGCCCTAAACGGTTCCAATCTTTGGTGTAGTTCAGATTGGAGCCATCGACACGGAATTCCATGCTGCATGAAATAAAACGAATCACCATGTCAGAGTGCCATGTGCGAAGCCTATAGAGAATGACCCTCCAGTGTTGTGAAAACGTTGACATACCTGTAATTACCAGCATCCCACGGAGTATAGGATGCAAGAAATACCGACTGTCCTGGAGAATCAGCCATCACTGTTGTCAGATGCACATGAATCAAAGAAGGCCCTTTGAGCGTGACCATCATGTCCCACTGAAGGGAGGAAGATGCAGAAGCAGGGATCCAGCGTGCTGGTGATTGCACCGCGATGTAGAGAGAGCAAGTTTGGCCAACATGGCATCGTTTGCAGCCATCTCCATAGATTATAACGCCACCAGGACGAATTGCATTCTTTCCATGAAACAAGCTTTCTTCATCGAAGTTTCCAGTTTCGTTCAATGAGATCCTCGAGCCGCCAAGGATGGAGGAGCTCCAACACAACCCCGCAGGCAAGACCTCAATGGATCCGGGGTTGCTTGAATTTGTTGATACAATTGTTGAATATCTGAGAGTATGAAGAATAAGGATCCAATAAAGATGAAGCTAAGGCGTATCAAAATGAAAAATTACCTGCTGTCTGTCTGATTCGGAAACGCTGTGTTTGCTTGGGTCAGTGGCGCAGCCTTCCTCAGCTCTTGGTTACTTTCTCTAGCAGCAGTGCTCCTGGACAGTAGATATCCCGACAACGCGAGCAGTATAAACGAGACTGCGCAAAGGCTTCGCCGAACTACGGATGGCCAATGGCATTTTGTGACGGAAGGGTTATCTATATCGAACTCTCGACATGGCTTCTTCCTGGCCGGGCTAGAACCTGTCTCATGCTCGTCGTCCGAGTCAACGACATGCGAGTAATTGGCAGTGGACGGAAGTGCCATTGTATCAAATCCACCGATGCTATGCTGCAGCCGAAACACCGAATGGCAATAAGAAGCTAGTAGCTTGCTGCAGCTGTGGGGTCAGACAAGCAAAAAGGCGATCGGCAAAGTCATCGCGTCTAACCAGCAGCGAGCTGGACATGACGTTTCCAAGGCCGGAAAAACTAGCCCGGGGTTTCTTGGCAGGTCGCGACTCCATGGTTTTCGCTGTGAGCGGTTGTGACGAATCCACCACCTCAGCAGCGTTCTTACGTATCCTAAATCGGCGTCAGATGAGACCTTGGTGACCTCATTGCACAATAGTCCCCCATAGCAGTGCTCAATTCAGCTGAAACCTTGGGAATTTGAAAGCGCTATAGAACACCACAATACCGATGCTAAAGAGCGAAACGCCTTCATCATTAAAAATAAGCTACCTTAACTCCTCATATTCATGACAGAAGAAGACTGAAAACTAGCACCCGAAATACATCTACTGGCTTGATACAGGTGAGGCCTCTACATGTACTCCATTGCACTAAGCAACTCTCCATGCTCTTCGAAGTACGTAACCATCCTCTGTAGAAAGGGGTTATTGTTCACTGTGTCGCAGTTACACACAATGCAGCACTGTCGGCGGGCTCTTGTGACAGCTACATTCATTCGCCGCTCATCCGCCAAGAACCCAACCTACTTATACAAGGGCAATAGTAGTGAGGCGAGGGGGGGGAAGTGGCATGGAAAAAATAGTTAGTATAAGCATTTGCCAAAGACGGAGTGATGCACTGTACTGCACTACCAAAACAGAAATCAACCAATCGCGTACCTCTCCAGTGTCATTGGAGCGGACCATGGAGATGATAATGGCCTCCTTCTCCCTCCCCTGAAACCCATCAACAGTGCTGATCTCCACGCGAGCCAGCTGCCGAGAGTCCTCTCTGAATGACTTGAGTAAGCCCACCTGGGGTGTCGAGATCAGGAAAGAGTAATGCAGAGGGTTGAAAAGAGCGTTCAATTGTTCCATAACGATAGCTCGCAGAGCAATCGCGAGACACCCATGTGGTGGAAATTACTCAAATTACAAGCAGCTGTTGCATCCATGTATCATGTGGCCATTTCAGTAACCCACCTGTGCACTGTACGGCGTGACAATCCCTATGTCCCCCGCATCCACCCCAGCCTCCAGCAACCGCCTCACATGTGCCACCACCACCCTCGCTTCCCCCTCATTCCGCAAACTCTCCCCCTCCTCCTCCCTTTGCTCCTCCACATCATCACACCCCGTCGTATCCACAAGCACCAGCCGAGCCTCCGTGACAGGCCCAGAAACCACCCCCGGCAGGTCCGGAAGCCCGTGGCTGGCCACCGAGGCATGCGCGGACAGCAGCGACTGGTACAGCTCGTCAGACGCCCAGCACATGATGTCCTTGTGCATGCGGTACTGAACGGTGAGCATGGATGTGATGCGGTCCCCGTAGAGGCGGTGCAGGCGCTCGAAGAGAGTGACCCCGAGGCCGCGCTTCTGAGCCTCGTCGCACTGCACGGTGGGCGGCAGCTGCAGGTGGTCCCCTGACAGGATGCAGCGTGGGGCTTTGAGCACCGCTGCCCAGCAGGACACCTCCAGAGCCTGTGCTGCCTCGTCTATCACCACCAGGTCGAATGTCAGGGGCTGGAGGGAATGGGGGAACGGCAGCGGGAGGGGAGAGAAGGGAAGAGGTGGCAAGGAGAGAGGAGGAGACAGAGTGTCAGTTGCAGCACCGACACCTCCTCCAAGGCCTGTGCCGCCTCGTCTATCACCACCAGGTCGAACGTCAGGGACTGGGGGGATGGGGATGGCAAGGGGGCGGGAAAGGAATGTGAGAGAACGGGAGCGGATTGATTTGGGCGGGGATGTGAGGCGAGGGGAGGGGAGGGGAGGGGAAAGAACAAAAGAGAAGGTAGAAATCGAGAGTCAGTTTCAGCATAAGACGTTCAGGGCTTGTGGTGCCCCGTCAGAGACCACTGGGTCAAAGGAGAAGAGGCGAAATGCAGGTGCTATCTTCACTTCACTGCCCTGTGCCACTGCTGCCTCTATGCCTTCCCCAATGCTACAACAACTCACCTCAAGGTGCCGTGACAAACAGCCAGTGAGAGTGGTGAGCACAACGTTGGAGTCCTTTAGCACGTCCTCCACTGCGCGCTGCTGCCGCTGCCTCTCCTCCTTGCCCAGCCGCCGCAGGTCCCTCTGGATCTCGCCCCTCTCCCGTCTTATCCTCGTTTTTAGCAGCTTCCCTGATAGCTGCTGCATCTCCTTGCGCACGTCCTTGGCCAGCGCACTGTTGTCCGACTGCTGCACCTGGTGGGGGGCGAGCAGGGCGGGCACGGGGGAGCGGCAGAAAGAGAGAGACGGGAGAAAGATAGAGAGAGAGCAACGGGAGGGTAAAGGAAAGAGAGGGGTGCTGCATCTCGTTGCGCACGTCCTTGGCCAGCGCACTATTGTCCGACTGCTGCACCTGGTGGTGTGGGGGGGGCAGGGAGGGCAGGGGGGAGGGGCAGAAAGGGAGAGAGAATGGAAGAAGGGAGAGAGAGAGAGGAACGGAGGGTAAGCCTGTTGGCCAGCGTGCTGTCGCCCAACTGCTGCACCTGGTGGGGGGTGAGAACAGGAAAGGACACAGGGTTGGGGCGAGTATGGGACAAGGGAGGGCAAGAAGGCGAGAGGGAGAAGGGAGGGAGTGAAACGCGGAAGAACAATGCAAGAAAATTCAGAGGAGCGAGGGAAAGAGAACCCATGCATCAGATTGCGGAGAGATTGCGGTGAGCAGATGGCACATACACATGCCGGGACGTATGCATGTATGTGGTGGCATACGCTTGTCATGGTGCATGCATGCATGTGGTGCCATACCAGGGCATCAAGGGAGGAGTTGAGGATGGATGGCAGCAGGCGAGCGGGATGCCCCACTCTCACTGCCCGCACCTGCACGCACGGCAGTAGACGGGTGGGGCAGGCAGGGCAGGGCGAGGGGGACAGGGCGAGGGGGACAGGGCGAGGGGGACAGGGCGAGGGGTCCAGCACAAGGGGGACAGGAAAAGTACAAAAACAATATGTCTTGATAAAAGCTAGGGAGTTTGCGAGGGCAGGCCAGCGGACTTGTGAGTTGGTACAGTGTGAAATTGGAGATATTGTCCGAGTAGGAAAGGAATATCATGGAGGTATAGCTGTTATTCAGTAGATATATCATGTAGGAGGCACCTGCTTGTGCGGCACGAGTCTCTCCACAAGGTTGTCCACAGCGATGTTGGACGCCGCACACACCAGCACCTTGCTGCCCCGCTTCACCTCCTGCACCACCACCTGCACAAGGGCGCGAACGCGGAAGGGTGGTGATGGAGGGAGGGAGTTGCACGGGAGTTGCCTGTGCCCAGCGACCCGTGGATGAGCGCCACGTGATGAGGACAGTCTCTTGGCCACGGCTGCCTTCTCTGACTCGTGTGGAAAGTAGTCGCAAACGCCCCGCACACTCACATCCACCACCAGAAGCCTCACCTCCACCACAGTGGTCGTTTTGCCGGTGCCCGGCGGCCCGTGAATGAGCGCCACGTGGTGCGCAGACAGGCTCTTAGCAACAGCTGCCTTCTGTGACTCGTCCAGAGCGCGGTTGAAGGGTGTGAAGGGCGGCGGGGCCTTGGCGAGGCGAGGCTCTGACTGGCCGAAGAGAACCTGATGGGGGGCGAGGGGGAGGGGAGGGAGGCAGGAGAGGTGGGGAAGGATGAGCCGCGGCCCCAGGCCTGATCAACGGGCACTCCCAGAATATCCCGCATGCGCTTGTACATCACATCATTCGCCTGTGCTCACCGGGATAAGCGCCGCCCCGGGCCTCCCAACCGTGCTCACACCCACATCCCCCGTCCGACTCAGCGCCCCTAGTGTATCGCGCATGCGCTTGTACGTGACATCATTGGCCAGCTTCTCTATCCGCACAGGAGCGTCCAGCCCGTCCCCATCGGGCACGTCATCCACGGCCACCACCACCGCATCCTCCCTCACGCGGTACACCACCCCCTGCGCTATCGCCGCCTGCGCGCCCTCCGCCTTGTTCGCCCGTATCGCCACCACGTCGTGCGGAGTGAACTTGTGCGGCGGCAGCACCGGACCAGACGCTCGCGAACCCGAACCTGCAGGTCCGGCGTCTGCTGTGGCGCCTTTGCTTGCACCTTTTCCAGTCTTGTTGGAGACGAGGGTGAGGAGGGTCTTGCCCATGAGGCCTGATGTGGCCTCCGTGCAGCGCAGGTGGCACAGCACTCGCCCCTTGGCCTGCGCTGACGCTAGTGAGCGGGTTGATGCTGCCTCTTCTGCTAAAGCCACCTCCGCGTCCTGTGGGTGTGCACAGGGGGAGGGGAGAAGGGGAGGAGAGGAGGAAGGGTGTAGGAGGGAGTGAGAGCAGTGCAGGTGGCACAGCACTCGCCCCTTGGCCTGCGCTGACGCCAGTGAGCGGGTTGATGCTGCCTCTTCTGCTAGTGCCACTTCCGCGTCCTGTGGGTGTGCACAGGGGGAGGGGAGAAGGGGAGGAGAGGAGGAAGGGTGTAGGAGGGAGTGAGAGCAGTGCAGGTGGCACAGCACTCGCCCCTTGGCCTGCGCTGACGCTAGTGATGCTGCCTCTTCTGCTAGTGCCACCTCTGCATCCTGTGGGTGTGGGGGGTAAAGGCAGAGGGGAGAAGGGTTGGAATGGGGAGGAATGGTGTGAACTGTGAAGGAATGGGGTCTCAGAGCAGATCTGTGCTCATGAAGAAGGGCAGCAGTAGGCAAGGTCGCCTTTAGCAAAGGGACGATAGTCAACCAGTGAAAAAAAGTAACCCTCGAAAAAAATTGATTAAGATCCAAACGTACAACTCAGTTCAAACTCTAGACGAAAGCAAACATGTTTCGGCTTCGCACGGGGATCATACCCGCTAGGCCTTCATGAGTGCAAGAGTTCAAAGTGAAAGAGCGAACAAGCAAGGGGTCTTAAAGAACACCCAAGCCTCGAGATCTACACAGGGAAATCCTACCCCGGGCGCGTAACTAGATAAGAAATGCGCCAACTAGACACAAAAGAAAATTCCTAGGTGTCCAGTCACTCTTCGGGTTTGTCTTCGGCAGTCTTGGAATTGGGTGGTGGTAACCTCGCGCGAACCAGGCACTGTTGCACGTTACGTGCACACTTCCAAGCAACAAGAATTCGATCAATATAAAAATTGCGGGTAAAGAGACGACTTTTGAGGCGCCTCAAAAGTACCCCTAATTTGAGACGGGCAGTCACAGGTGTGAAAACCGCCTTCAAAACTAGGGGCCCGCGTGATGAAGTTGAATCCTGTTGCTTGAATAAGTGTCGCGCCGAGGTCTGCTCGAGAAGATCACCGCGTTGTAGAAAGACGACGCTCCCGAAGATGGGGCGAAGGAAATCCGGAGGGTAACCACGTGCACGAAGCCTGCGGAAGAAATCATGCTTCGTTGCGAGGAAGGCCGAGGCTGATGACGAGCGGAGTAGATACCGCTTCAATTCGGCCTGGATGAACCCAACCTTGCAGTGACGTGTGTGGTATGATGAAAATGGGAGGTAGAGATACCGGTTCATAGGTTTCTGGAAGGTCCGGAAATCCAAGGTACCGCAGGCAGCGAACCGGTCCCCCTTGTAGAGGACCATGTCGAGGAAATCCACTGACTGCCCCGAGACATGCCACGTAAGCTTGATATTCGGGTCGAGGCTGTTGAACGTGTTGAAGTACCGTTCCAGCTCATCTCTGGTTCCAGGCCAGACAATGAACCCATCGTCGATGTATCTCACGTGTCGAAGCGGCTGCGTCCCGGTCCACCTCTGCTTCAGCACCTCGTCCAGTCGGCTCATGAAAAGTACCGCAAAGCAGACCGCCACGGGAGTTCCCATGGCGGTCCCTTGAATCTGGCGGTAGACGTTGCCATTGAACTCCACGTAGGAATTCAACATGACCCACTCCAGCAGGGCCATGACCGGGAAGGCCTGACACGAGTTCTCCCTCTGCAGAAAGTCGCTGACCGTATCAAGACCGCGCCGAAGTGGAATACTGGGGTACAGCGCGATGACATCATACGTCGCCAGAAGCACATTTCGGGGAAGAGTAGTGCGTTCCAGCTCAAGTAGCAGCGAGAGGGAGTCGCGAAGGTAGGAAGGTTGTTTAAGAACCAGCGGCCGCAGTTCAGCATCCAACCAAGTGCTGACGTTAGTAGTGACCCACGAATGCGAAGCAGCGATCGGACGCCCCGCCAGGGTTTTTTTATGCAGCTTCGGTAGGATGTAAAATGCCGCTGGTTTCCAGCCCCCGCTAGGTTGATGTAAGAAATACCTCCATAGACTATCTGGAAGAGCAGGGCCCCATGCCACCTGAAGTGTGCGCAGTTGCTGGAAGACAGAATCTGTGGGATTGGAGAAGACTGGTTCGTAGGTGCTCCGGTCGTCGAGATGATCCAGACACAGCCTGACGTAGTGCTCCCTGTCTAACACCGTCACCCCCAAGTTCTTATCCGCCGGTTTAATCACCACGCTGCGGTCGGCTGCAATGGAACGCAGAGCCTGGGCGACGCCGAACGAGATGTTCCGAACACGCCTCGGTCTGTTAGCTTTCAACAGGACAGAAAGGTCAGAAACCGTTTCATTGAAAACCTGCTCTGGAATCGGATTCACATCAGGGACCCAACCGGGATTCCGTACACGAAAACGCGAACCCGCCGCTGAACCACCTGACTCGTTGAAGAAAAAGTGAAGGGAAACCTGTCGGAGTAGCTGATCGAGTTCCACTCCGGAGGAAAGGGATATGGCGGGCGTTGGTATGAACTTCAGACCCAACCCAAGCGCCGTCTTCTCGTCAGGAGACAATATTCTGGTGCTCAGGTTGTGTACTCCCTGGTTCAGTATGCGCGACGTCGCCTGCCGATACGTCATGCGACCGAACCAGCGGAGAGCCAAATCATGGCTCGTTACTTGTTGCGCGGCCCTTTTCCGGGGCCGCCTCCGCCGTTTTTTGGACCCTTGGCGCTGGATTTGTCGTTGTTGTTGGCGCCTTTCCCCTGCTGCCCGTCGTCACCGTTGGAGTTCTGCGTTTTCGGCTTCTTAGCTCCGCGCTTCCTTCTCGGCTTCGAAGGCGCATCGTTCTTCTCCTTCTTAGCCTTGGAGTCCGCGTTGGAGGCTGTCGTAGGTTCCTGTTCACCCAGAGAGAGCTCCTTCTTGAACTTCTTCGATAGCTTGGCTTCAACACTCGCTGTGATCTCCCTGCGAAGCTGATCCGCCATCTTCTTAGTGTGGTTCTTCAGGATCTCCTCCATCGACAGCTCTGTATCCATCTCCTTCAGTTCCTCCGCGGCAGCGGCTTTCTTCAAGTCCTCAGCGGCCTGCTTTCGCTGTCGATCCAGTTCTCGGATGACGATCTCATCCTTAGCAGCAGCAATCTCAGAGTTAACCTTTTCGATGCAGCGTCCCTTCAAGCGACGAAATCGCTCCTTGGCGGCGTCAGACACCACCAGCTCTGGGTCGGCGGAAAGGCTTAGTATGTACTCCTCGAGCTTTGTTGCCAAAACCGTGACATGCGAGTTGCTCGCTGCCAGAATTTCCTCGACCTCCGCTTCTTTAGACGAAATGAAATCCGCCTGGAGACGTTTCTGGTTCTCCAGATGCGTTGCTGCGACGAGCTCTGCAGATTTCTCCTTGATGGTGGCGTACTTTGTCTGGAACTCCACCGCCTTCGTGCGGATACTGTGAAGTATCTCGCCCTTGTCGTTGAGCTCCTTCATCTTTTTCAATTTCGCCTTCGCCTTCAGATATGACTTGTAGTCGTCTCGAAAGCCCTTAACTGCAGACAGCGACCATCCCTTGAACGGCTCAGGGATTGGAGTAACGTCAGCAGTAGCTTCCGTCGCGAACGCGCACGAACGACCCGACGAGCCAGCAGCGGGAAGAATTTCTGGTTGCTTCTCAATGAAACGATCATCGCGGACCAGTGGCAAGGGAGGGAACGTAGAACCTGCAACGCGATACTGCTTCTCAGCAGAAAAACCCGGGCGGCCAGACGAACCCCCTCCGCGAGATGAATTCTTAGAGTGACGTCCCTTCATACCGGCCTCTTCTTCCGAATAAAACTTTGTAAAGTCCCACGGATCTGTGCTCATGAAGAAGGGCAGCAGTAGGCAAGGTCGCCTTTAGCAAAGGGACGATAGTCAACCAGTGAAAAAAAGTAACCCTCGAAAAAAATTGATTAAGATCCAAACGTACAACTCAGTTCAAACTCTAGACGAAAGCAAACATGTTTCGGCTTCGCACGGGGATCATACCCGCTAGGCCTTCATGAGTGCAAGAGTTCAAAGTGAAAGAGCGAACAAGCAAGGGGTCTTAAAGAACACCCAAGCCTCGAGATCTACACAGGGAAATCCTACCCCGGGCGCGTAACTAGATAAGAAATGCGCCAACTAGACACAAAAGAAAATTCCTAGGTGTCCAGTCACTCTTCGGGTTTGTCTTCGGCAGTCTTGGAATTGGGTGGTGGTAACCTCGCGCGAACCAGGCACTGTTGCACGTTACGTGCACACTTCCAAGCAACAAGAATTCGATCAATATAAAAATTGCGGGTAAAGAGACGGCTTTTGAGGCGCCTCAAAGGGGAGGAATGGTGTGAACTGTGAAGGAATGGGGTCTCAGAGCAGCACGCGGCTGACACACAACCCCAGCCAACCTCGGTAGACCTAGCGTAGGGGAGGGCAGTGGAGTGGCTCACCTTTTCGAGGTCCAGCAGAGGCCGCATCCGCTTGACGAACTCGTACACGTCGCTGCAGTCACTCACGTCTGCCGCCACGCCCCCACGCACCCTCCCCACCCCCGCCGCCCCATACCCCATGCCTGCACCCCCCCTTCCCCCTCCTTCTCCTGATCCCCTTTTTCCGCCTCCTCTTCCCCCCACCCCCTTGCCCTCAGTGCCGCTTCCGCCCCTGTCGTCCCCCCCAAGAGCGTCAGCAGGCACATCCCATCCCAAATGCTGCTTCAGAGCGTCTCCCAGCTGGCGCGCTCCCATTGGCTGCTGCTGCTCCTGTTGCCACCCATCATCCGCTCCTACATGCAGCGTCCTGCCTTCCCCCTCAGACTCTCCACCTTCCCGCCACAGCACTAACTGCCGTTGCGAGCCGCCCGGCATGTCCCGGCTCTCGTGTTGCCACCCATGAGTCTCCGCAAGGTCTGATTGGATGGGACCGGATGTGAATGAGAGAGAGGGAGCTCTATATATATAAATTGTTTTTTTTTTGGGAGAGAGAGTCAACAAGTCAGCAGAAACTCTCTCAAGTAGTTATTAGAGCAGTAATGAGCGCAAGCAAGAAGGTGAGTAGAGCGATCTCGCATGCAGCGCCTCGGATCACATTGCCAGCACCACCCCTCCCAGCACCACCCATCACCGGTCATCAACATCTCTCACCGTGCATCCCTCACCATGCAGTGCGGCGCGTTGCTTGGGCGTGAGGGAGGGCGGAAAGACCACGCGTGTCACCGGCAGCTGGGGATACGTGGCAACAGGGGAAAGGGGGAAGAAGGGGAGGGAATGCAGGGCGAGAATGAAGCCAAAAAAGGCAAGATACCAATGCATAAATGAAGGAAGCGAATCACGGAGATGGGTTTAGGGTTGGAGAGGCACGACCTGAACCCTATCCGTACATGTCTATGATGCATGCATCCATCCGTAGCAATCACTCCAGTGTCACAGTTCTGTCGGAAGCCCTGAACCCCCCAACCACAGTTATATTAAGAAAGAACCCGCCTGTCATCTTCCTCCGAACAATACAGCACTAGGACGTGCTTACTCCAGCCGTCGCTTCTGCCTCCGCCGATGACGCAGTGCCATTTTCCCCACGACCTGCGCTTTCCCCGTCGCTCGCGGAAGCTGCTATTTCCGCGGGTGCACTGACGGAAGCGGCGGGAGGGTGTGCGGGTTTGGCGGAAGCGTCCGCGGGAGGCGCGGAGACCTTCTGCGCGGTGCGGTTAAGCTGCGCGGCTTTTTTGGCCGCGGCCTTGCGCTTAGCCGCATCCGACACCATGCCGGGGGGGAAAGAAGGCGGAGGAAAGCCGGAGGCAGACGGCGGAGACGCAAACGGACGGTTTAAACGTCGCTGCTATCCGTGCACGAAAACTTGCGTGCTGTTGTCTGATGCTGGCAAGTTGACGCCTCGCTACCCGTTAGTATTCCGTGACATGCAGCATTTCGGCATTCCGTGACAGAACCAAGGCTTAGCCGGCCATTTGCGTTGCTGGTGCCGATAAGAGAAGCTGGAGCAGAGGGAGTGAATGAGAGCTATTCCAGTTGACAAGTGTTTCATGAAATGGAGTGGTGAAGGCAACAGCTGGAGCTTCAGTGCTGCAGCTAGCAATTGCAGTGTATGTCGAAATTATTTGAAGGTGTATGCGTGCAATCACTTTTTACCGCGTAAAATTCGTCAAGGTCCCCCAAATCCTTAGTCACGCATGCCCTGGTTGTCGAAACAAATGCCAGTGCGATGTTCACGAGGAATCCTGTTTGCTTGGCTGTCCGCTTCCACTATGCTAACATGGCTCATCATGGCATGGCACCACGCAAGCACGCTCTCACACTCGAGCAAGCACCAAAATCAGCAGGCGACAGCGGTAACCATCTTCATGGCGGCTCGATGCTATGCAAAATTGCGCGGCAAATTCGCGCTGAACCCTTCTGCAAATAGATCCGTAGCAGCCGTGTACTGTTGCGCTAATAGTTCACAGGAGAACACGGCTGCTCGTCGCTCTGCCGTTTTCGAAAAAGCAGGCTTCGTGATTTGCGAGTGGTTGTTTTACAGAAACGGATTAGGCAGGCAGGCGTAAGTAATCGTAGCAGGCCGCGCCGATTTGCTGTCGCCATGAGCACGTACCAAGGACCCGTTGGTACACCACCGAGCCAAGGTTCGTAGTAGTAGCGTGTTTGGTCTTCCAGTTTACAATGATACGCCGAAATGACGAATCAGGCTTCGCACTTTTTATTGCTCTGCTTTCTGTTTCCATATTTCCCCTCCTTTCCTGCCTGCCTACTGACCAGCTCTGCGTGTGTGCTTTGCAGGTGGATGGGAGGGGCGTGGGGGTCATCACCGACACTCCCCCGCACCCCTCCTCTTGTGGCCATGCAGGTGGCCGTGGTGGGACCAGAGGGGGGCAGCACTCCACTTGGCTGGGATGGGATGGGAGAGTTTCGGGATTGGGTCGTCTGGAACAAGGTGAGCCTCTTTTCCCTCGTGCACTTATGCTGCTTCTTGGTCTTCTTACAATGCTCACTTCCGTTTTGCGCCCTCCTGCCTTAATGCTTCCGCCTGCTCTTCTCCCCATTCTCACTGCTGTCCCTTGCTTCAATGCCTCCCCCCTCTCCCCTCCCACCCAGTGCATTGAAGCTGTAGCAGGGCAGCAGGGGGCAGCAGCAGGGCAGGCAGCAGCGGAGGGGAGGGGAGGGGATGGGCAGCGGCAGCAAGCAGAGCAGCAGATTGGCAGCAGCACTAGCAGCAGAAGAAGCGGTAGCAGCAGTAGCAGCAGTGAGGGAAGGGGGGATAGGCTAAGCTAGATGTAGCTGCGCGCGATGTATGGTACAAGGTAAGGTATGGTAACAGGTGTGGTATGGTTACAGGTGACGTATGGTAAGCTAGTCCCCTTCTCTCTCACCCCCCCTCTTTCTGCAGGCTGAAGGTAGGAGCACTGGAGCAAGGACGGGATAATGGAGTCCAAACTCTCTCTCACCTCCCCCTCTCTCCCTTTTTCCTTCCCTCCCAGCAGCACCCTGCCTGGACCACAGAGGAGTCTCTCCCTCCCCTGATCCCCCCTACTCTCTCCACTTCCCAGCAGCCTCAGCAAGGTAGGTTCAGGTGAGTACGCATGGGAGCGAAGTGTGGGGAGGGTGGGTGGGAGCATGGGATCAAGCGGGGGGTTCACTGCCTTAGGGGTAGCATCCTCTGGGGTTGTGACTTGTGAGTCGGGGTGTGGAGGGTGGAATCGGTGCGGCACGGCACTCGGTGCTCAGGTTCCCAGTCTGGCGTTCAAGGCTTAATGGGCACCGTCAGAGCCGACCGGCCGGCGGCTCTGGTTCGCGTCAGCTCTAGCTACGTCAGGGGTGGGATTTGAGTCTTGGGCTGGAAGCAATTTTCCACTACCACACTTCATCCCACAAGGCTCACTCTCAGGGGTTGCTGTTTTCTTGAGGAAGTGGGCTCTCTGCTGCTCCTACTGCTGGTAGGTAAACTTGGGGATGGGCTGGGTGTGTGAGTGAGAGAGATGGGGGCTGAATCCCCTTGGGTGGGTGAGTATAAGGGAAGGGGGCTGAATCCCCTTGGGTAGGTGAGGGAGAGAGAAGGGGGTTGAATCCCCTTGTGTGGTTGAGTGAGGGAGAAGGGGGCTGAATTCCCTTGGGTGGGTGAGTGAGAGAGAAGGGGGCTGAATCGCCTTCGGTGGGTAAGTGAAGTGAAGGGGTTTGAATCCCCTTGGGTGGGTGAGTGAGAGAGAGGGGTACTGAATCCCCTTGGGTGGGTGAGTGAGAGAGAAGGGGGCTGAATGCCCTGGGGTGGGTGGGTAGCGTATGGATGAGACAGAGTGGGTGGGATAGGGTTGGGTGGGATGAGGCGGGTAAGGTGGGTAGGTTGGTAAGGTGGTTGGTTTTGGTGGGTCAGTGGGATTGTGGGTAGATGGTTAGTTGGGTAATTGGGCGGGTGGGCATCTGGGTGGTTGAGAGGTGGGTAGGCAGGTGGGCAGATGGTCGGTAGGTGGGTGGATAACTGGGTGGTTGATGGGTTGCGTGGGTCATGGGGTGGGTGAGTGGGTGAGTGGGTGAATAGGTGGGTGGGTAGATTGGTAGGTGGGTCAATGTGTCGCTAGGTGTGTGGGTTGGTAGGTGGGTAGGTGATGGGTGGGTAAGTGGATAGGTGGCTGGGTGAGTGGTCGTGGGTTGTGTAGGTGGTGGTGGGTGATGAGTGGTGTGTGGGTGGTGGATGGTGGTGGATGATGGGTGGTGGATGGTTGGCGGGGGTTGGGCTGGGTGAAGGTAGAATGGGATGAGGAGCAGTGGGGTAGGTGGGGATCAGCAGAGTGGGTTGGGTTGGGTATGGTGGGATGAGGTAGAGTGGGTTGGGCAGGGTACGGTGGGGTGAGGTAGAGTGGGTTGGGCAGGGTACGGTGGGATGAGGTATGATACAGTGTGCTATGATAAGGTGTGGTTTGATACAGTGTGCTATGATAAGGTGTGCTATGATAAGGTGTGGTATGATACAGTGTGCTATGACAAGGTGTGCTATGATAAGGTGTGGTATGATACAGTGTGCTATGATAAGGTGTGCATGATACAGTGTGCTATGATAAGTTGTGCTATGATAACGTGTGCTATGATACAGTGTGCTATAATATGGTGTGCTATGATAAGGTGTGGTATGACACAATGTGCTATAATGAGGTGTGCATGATACAGTGTGCTATGATAAGATGTGCTATGATAAGGTGCGCTATGATACAGTGTGCTATAATAAGGTGTGCTGTGATAAGGTGTGGTCTGATACAGAGTGATGATGAGTGTGGTTTGAGTAATTCTTCGGTTTGCTACATTGATTGGTATGCAACGTTGTTTGGTATGGTACATTAATTGGTATGCTGCATTAATTGGTATGCTACATTGATTGGTATGCAACTGTGATTGGGTGAAATGGGCGGGAACGCCTTCTTTGCTTTTCTCTTCTTTTCTCTGTGCCGTCCCTTCTCTGTGTGCCGTCCCTTCTCTGTGTGCCGACCCTTCTCTGTGTGCTGTCCCTTCTCTGTGTGCCGTCCCTTCTCTGTGTCCCGTCCTCATTTGTTCCATTCTAGTCCACGGGCGTTCCTTCCCTTTCCCTGGGGGCCATGCATGTGCAGCTTCCCTCCCAAGGCACGGGGGAGCGTGTGCAGGCTCCCTGCCATCTATTCAACGACTCATGCTCACATGTTTGTGACCCCTTCCCTTAGCCTCAGGGCCACCCATGTGCATGGGCTGGGCAACATACCTTCCTCCACCGACGCAAAGGTCGTGGCGGGCGCCCATCCTTGGATGCTTCTCATTCCGCCTCTCACCTGCCTTGTACCACTTTCCCATCACTGGTGTTGGCACTCTGCAGACTAGATTGGGTACATGTGCCTAGTGGGAAATCCCACAATCAATTTGTTGGGAATATAAACGCATGACTTAGTGCGTTTCTGTAGTATCGAACCTCACCCGATACTGAAGCACAACAAAAGGGGTATGAAGTCGAAAAAGGCGCGTACCACATCAAACCGCAACTAGAGGTTGCGAGCTGTAACCACCTGGAGGTTACGTAACAGCAAGCGACGCTTCAGTGAACAGTAACCGCCTCGATAGTCGAAGCGTTACGCGTCTCGATAAACATAACCGCTTCCTGTAATCTATCTTTCCTATATATTCCTGTATGCTCTTTGCTTTAATCAATTACTTGTTCTCACATACCAGCACAAGTACATTCACTCAAAAGACTTCCGCTGTGCTACTCTAGCACCTACTAGCCTATTCTCTACAAAGATCCTAAGGCTGAAATCCTCAGCCCAACATGGTATGAGAGCAGTCAGAGAACA